CATCACGTTGAAACCTACATCCGATGTCCAAACTAAACTCTATCATCCTCAAACCAATGTCCAAACCGAGGTGGTGAACCGAACGCTATCTGCACTTCTTTGCGTGCTCATCAAGAAGAACATCAAGGAGTGGGAGGAGTACTTTCCTATCGTCAAGTTCACCTACAACCGCGCAAGACGCGCGACTACGAACAAGTCTCCATTTGACATGGTGTACGGCTTCAACCCTTTGTCCCCATTGGACATCGTCCTGCTTCCTCTATAAGAGCGCACGAACATGGATGTGATTGCACGTGCCACATACATGAAGAATATGCACAAAGAAACAAGGCTCACCATAGAGCGACAAGTCAATCGACACGCCTCCAAGATGTGAAGGAAATATGCCCTAGAGGCAATAATAAAGTTGTTATTTTATATTTCTTTATTCATGATAAAGGTTTATTATTCATGCTAGAATTGTATTGATCAGAAACATAAATACATGTGTGAATACATAAACAAATACTGTGTCCCTAGTAAGCTCTACTATATAAGCTCGTTGATCAAAGATGGTTAAAGTTTCCTAACCATGGACATGAGTTGTTATTTGATAGCGGGATCACATCATTAGGAGAATGATGTGATGGACAGCACCCATTAGTTAGCTTAGCATAATGACCATTCAGTTTTATTACTATTCTTTTCTTCATGTCAAATACATATTCCTTCGACTATGAGATTATGCAACTCCCGGATACCGGAGGAATACCTTGTGGGTGATTGGTGGTAAGCAGTACGCCGATCAGCGCCCACAACTCTCTGTGTTCTACTGTTGCTCATGATGCCACTCTTGGGGAACGTAGCATGCAATTTCAAAAAAAAAAAATTCCTACGCTCACGCATGATCTTTCTAGGAGATGTATAGCAAGAAGAGGGAGAGTGTGTCTACGTATCCTCGTAGACCGTAATAGGAAGCGTTTCACAAAGCGGTTGATGTAGTCGAACTTTCTTCGCGATCCACCGATCGAGTACCGAATGTACGACACCTCCGAGTTCTGCACACGTTCAGCTTGGTGACGTCCCTCGCCTTCTTGATCCAGCAAGATGTCGAGGTAGTAGATGAGTTCCATCAGACGACGGCGTGGTGACGGTGACGGTGAAGTGATCTCTGCAGGGCTTCGCGTAAGCACTTCGAAATTATGACCGGGGGCGTAAACTGTGGAGGGGGGCGCTGCACACGGCTAAGATAATGTCTAGGTGCGCTAGGCGCCCCTCCTCCCACATATATATAGGTGGGGGAGGAGGGAGCAGCCAGGGGGCGCTCCAAGTAGGATCCGAATCCTACTTGGGGTTTCCCCAAGTGGCGCCCCTACCTTTTTTCACCGGAGAAGAAAGGGAAGGGGAAGAGAGAAAGGAAAGGGGGGCCGAACCCCTTTTTCCTTATACCAATTCGGCCTCCTAACATAGGGGGGGGGGGGCGCCACCCCTTGTGGGATGGTGTGCTCCCCTTTCATGGCCCATATGGCCCATATCTTTCCCCGGGGGTTCCGGTAACCCCTCTGGTACTCTGATAAATACCCGATACACTCTAGAACACTTCCGTTGTCCGAATACCACCGTCCTATATCGCAATATTTACCTCTTGACCATTTCGAGACTCCTCGTCATGTCCGTGATCACACCCAGGACTCCGAACAACATTC